ATATATATATGTATATAATAAAATATTTCTGAAATTTTTTTTTCCTTTTTTAATTTAAATTCATATTTACTTATTGATTGATAGGTTTTCACACTCTGTATTAATGCATTAAGTTGCTAGATGGCTTGGCAACAGTAAACAGCCTATACATAGATTTCGGGTTATTAATATTATTAACTATATATTAAAGATTGGTGTCTTAATGTCTTGTAACTGTTTTGGGGTCACTCTTGTATGAAGTTGCCGAGCGTTTGGTGTCCGCTGATGACAGGATTATCTTGGTGGGCGGGGTAAACCGGCTCAGGGGTCAGAGGACAAAGTTCATGGGTGCTCCTCATGTAGTTCACACCGCCCTGCTGGAGGAGGAGCAGCAGCTGACGGACGAACAGTGGCTCCACCTGTAGGACAGGAGAAGTGACAGCCGTGTTTAGTCATGTGGAGGCGACTGTTGCGTGTCAGAGCAAATGGAGAGGTCAAAGGTCGTTACCTGGACCGTCAGGGGTCTGTTGTCTGCAGAAGGGTCACAGCACTCAAAAAACAGCTGCACGTGGAAACGCGGAGGAGGACGAGCGTGCAGGAAATAACCCTGGAGCTCTGCAGGAATTAATGCATTATAAACTTAAAGGGTTAGTACACCCAAAAATGAAGATTCTGTCATCATGTACTCACCCTCATGTGGTTCCAAACCCCTAAGACTTTCGTTCATCTTTTGAACACAAATATATTTCTGTCATGACAACTCTCGGAGGGATTGGCATGGTAATGCACATGACAATGTTAATGTATTTGGTCTTGGCGGAATAGATCTGCTACGCTGCTGCTGCTGCAGAGCAAGTACCGAGACTTGTATTTCAGACTGAGTTAGACCTATCGGACTGCGCCATCTAGAGTTTCATGCCAGAACTCTGTATATATTTTTAATGAAACCTGATAGATTTCTGTCCCTCCATTGACAGTCTATGCAATTATCGCCAGTGTTGCCAAGTCCACGGTTTTACCGCAGAATTGGGTTACTTTTTCACTGTTGCCACAAGTTGCTTTTTAGTCTGCAGGTTAAAGCGATCTCCAACCCCTGGAATGCTATTTTGACGGAGGGGACCCCGGACAGAGCAGAAAACTGTGGGGAGAAAATGCGACTGGGCTAGCTTTGATTTTGATTCACAGACCTGGCAACCCAGTCTACCATTTTGACGGTTCAAAAAGTTCATAAAGAGATCGTGAAACAAATCCATATGAATTTAGCGGTTTAGTCCAAATTTTCTGAAGAGACTCAATCGCTTTATATGATGAACAGATTTAATTTAGGCTTTTATTCACATATTTATATTGATCAGAGAACATGAACAGAAGCTCAACCGTTCTTGCTTGACGCTCGAGAAAAACCTCATTGGTTCTTACAGAAGCTTAACATGCTGCGTAACACACAAGGATGAACCTCATTGGGTTCACTGCAAAACAAAATCAGCCCAACTGCTATTCAAAACTAGCCCAATCGTGTTTTTCCGCTCTGTGGAAAGAGCATTCCAGTGGGTGGGTATTGTGGGGGAGACAGCTCCGGGCCACCCGGGCCGCTGAAGGTCCAGTTGTCGTCATGTGGAGCCAGTCGACAGCCCTCGGCGCTCATGACGGTGACATCCGCGACCAGAGTCTCACCGCTGAACACCGTCACCTGCAGACGGGCGTCTGGAACGGGTCAGAGACGCAGGTGAGTTTCTAGACTGTTGCTAGGTGGTTGCCAAAATGTTCTAAGTAGTTACTGGTTCATTTGTAGGTAGTTGCTAGGCTGTTGCTAGGCATTTTTAGGTAGTTGTTAAACTGTTACTAAGATGTTCTACATAGTTGCTGGGGCGTTTGTAGGTAGTTGCTAGGCTGTTGCTAGGCAGTTGCTAAGTTTCCTCTAAATGGTTACTGGGGCATTTGTAGGTCATTGCTAGGCAGTTGCTAAGATGTTCTAAGTATTTACTGGAGCATTTTTAGGTCATTGTTAAACTGTTACTAAGATGTTCTACATAGTTACTGGGGCCTTTGTAGGTAGTAGTTAGGATGTTGCTAGGCAGCTGCTAAGATGCTCTAAGTGGTTACTGGGTTATTTGTAGGTAGTTGCTAGGTGGTTGATAAGATGTTCTAAATAGTTATTGGGTTATTTGTGGGTTGTTGCTTGGCATTTGTAGGCAGTTGCTATGCAGTTGCTAGCTGATTACAATGATTTCTAAGTGGTTGCTGGGACATTTGTGGGTAGTTGCTAGGCAGTTAATAAAATATTCTAAGTATTTACTGGAGCATTTTTAGGTAGTTGTTAAACTGTTACTAAAATGTTCTACATAGTTACTAGGCAGCTGCTAAGATGCTCTAAGTGGTTACTGGGTTATTTGTATTGGGTTATTTGTGGGTAGTTGCTAGGCTTTTTTACATAGTTGCTAAGTTTCCTCTAAGTGCTTACTGGGGCATGTGTAGGTCGTTGCTATGCAGTTGCTAGGTGGTTACAATGATTTTCTAAGTGGTTGCTGGAACATTTGTATGTAGTTGCTAGGCTGTTGCTAGGCAGTTGATAAAATATTTTTAGTAGTTACTGGGTCATTTGTAGGTAGTTGCTAGGCATTTTAGGTTGTTGCTAGGCAGTTGCTAAGTTTCCTCTAAGTGCTTACTGGGGCATTTGTAGGTCGTTGCTACCCTGTTGCTATGTGTTTGCTTTGATGTTTTAAGGGGCTGTTCACACAGAATGCGTTTTTCCATTCCAAAGCACTACTTTTCCATTTTTTTTTCTATATAAACCCGTTAGATGGACGTGTGTCTCAAGTCTTTTGCAGCGTCTCGCACATGAGCGCCACGTTTTTAAGACGGCGTGTCAAGTTAAAAGAATTTCAACTCTGTCATCATCAATGTCAGTTCCAAAACAGTGGACCAATCAGAAGACCCCAGAGCAAGCGTTGCAAGATTTTGTTTACAGTAGCAAATTGGCATGGAAACATGGTTTTATTTGACCGTAACATAGTGGAGGAGGCATTCTGCACTGTGTCTCACGTTATTAGACGCGTTCCAGTGGTTACTGGGGAATTTGTAGGCTGTTGCTAGACTGTTGCTAAGAGGTTGCTAAGAAGTTGGCAACTGAGGCATTGTTAGATGGTTGCAAGGTTGTTCTAAGGTGTTTACTAGGTTTTTGCAAGGCAGTTGCTAAGGTGCTTTGAGTGGTTGCCTGCTGTTGATTGTTGTGTGCTAAGATATTCTAAATGGTTGCCAGGGTGTTGCTAGGGAGTTTATTAATTGTGTGTGTACCTGACAGTGCCATGGCCTCGGCTGATCTCATGCTGGCGTCCAGGGTGAACGGAGAGGGAGGCGAGTCAAACGTGTTACAGCTGTAGAAAGAGCCACTTATCTGGTACCCTACACACACACACACACTTTACTGTAAATGACTCAATATATTTTTTAAATAACTACAGAGAGAGAAAGAGAGAGAGAGAATAAATACCAGCATCCCAGCGTAAGTTCTGGCTGAAGTGGACATCGGACAGTGAGTTCTGCTCACACAGGAAGTCCCTCGAGCTCCTGTCAGCGGCAGACAGGAAGTTACACACCTGTACAGAGAGACGGACACAGAAACAGATCACAACCCTAACTGTTTCATTATCATGGGCAGATATTACTTTAGAGTTTAATTTAGTAGTGAATTGCAATAAGCTTGTTTAAAATAGTGTTACCTGACCCTCCACGGGTTCATATGGAGGATAAAACGGGTAGTTATGGTGACCCAAGCTTGTGGAAACTTTTTCATATGATTTTGGTGCTGAAATGAAGGAGAAATTAATTGCCATTTAAATGTGTTTTAATATATACACACAATATATAAACCTCTTTTGAAATGAGTTGTAATTGAATTAAAATTTGTATTCTTTTTTTTTTGTTCTTTTTGATTATTTATATACACATTTTTATATATTTATAAATTGCATAGAATACATTTTTCATGAATTATTCATTTTTTATTTATGTAAATGAGTATATACATGCAATATCTGCATTATGTCATATTAAATGAATTTCATATTTAAATGTCATATTTATATTTATGTGTATAAATGTGAGTGTGTTCACCTCTTTTGGATCCCTCAGGAATAACGCGGTAAACTTTAAACGGTTCTGATACGTCCAGCTGGCTTCGGCCCACGAGCTCCTCGAAGTCGCTGCTCTTGTTCAAGGCGCACCTGAGCCGGGTTTTCCAGGTGGGAGGATCCGGTTGAGTTGTAATTGAATTAAAATTTGTATTCTTTTTTTTTTGTTCTTTTTGATTATTTATATACACATTTTTATATATTTATAAATTGCATAGAATACATTTTTCATGAATTATTCATTTTTTATTTATGTAAATGAGTATATACATGCAATATCTGCATTATGTCATATTAAATGAATTTCATATTTAAATGTCATATTTATATTTATGTGTATAAATGTGAGTGTGTTCACCTCTTTTGGATCCCTCAGGAATAACGCGGTAAACTTTAAACGGTTCTGATACGTCCAGCTGGCTTCGGCCCACGAGCTCCTCGAAGTCGCTGCTCTTGTTCAAGGCGCACCTGAGCCGGGTTTTCCAGGTGGGAGGATCCGGTTTATCTATTCCCTCGCGATACTTGCCCTTAAACAGAGCCCAGGCCTGTCCAATAAACCAGACATCATTAACAACTCATTAACATAAATTATGCAGAACATATCTCATTTGCATTAACATATGAATATTCAGCAGCCCTAAGAGTGTTTACACACCTGAAAATGTCTGAATGCCAATGCATTATAAAATGAATGGATATAAACTATTAAAAACAACTGGCATTTATTGCAAATAAATAAATCAATGTACAAACACACTTTACAATCAAAACATTTAACATAATATTCATGCATACAGTTTGAAATGATTATAAACACTTAGTGTGACTAATTTAAATTAGCAAAATGTGCTTCATATTTCATTATTTTGTTGCATGCAAATGCAATGTATTATTGTTGTGTATTAATACTGATTATTAATTTTTAAATGCACCTATATTACTATATATATATATTACCTATATTGCAGCTATTATATAACATTCACACCTTGAAGAGCGCGGCGTCCTCGTCTCTGTTGTAGTCCTGCTTCCCTGCGTGTTTCCACGGGATGCGGAAGACGGTCCGCTCTCGATCCTCCCAAACTAAGCCGGGATATTTCCCAGTGTCCACCTGCTCGATCAGCCACTGACGCAACTTCCCGTTCCCGGAGCTTCCCGACATCCTCAGTTTGTCCAAGTCAAAGCGTGGGAATATAGTCTAAACAGCGCAGTAATGCAAATAACGGGAGCTGAGAAGGCGGCTGTGTCTTCAGCAGAGGCTGCTGAGAATTTGGTTTTGATTTCTCATGTAGTTGAGTTTTCAGATGAGATTTTTCATAATTATTTGCCTTTTTATGGGAGGAGCAACAGATGCGAAGCTCAAAGTCATGAAAGTTCACACACATACACACAGACACAGACACACACAGACACACACACACACACACACGCTCTCTCTCACACACACACACGCTCTCTCTCACACACACACACGCTCTCTCTCACACACACACACGCTCTCTCTCACACACACACACGCTCTCTCTCACACACACACACGCTCTCTCTCACACACACACACGCTCTCTCTCACACACACACACGCTCTCTCTCACACACACACACGCTCTCTCTCACACACACACACGCTCTCTCTCACACACACACACGCTCTCTCTCACACACACACACGCTCTCTCTCACACACACACACGCTCTCTCTCACACACACACACGCTCTCTCTCACACACACACACGCTCTCTCTCACACACACACACGCTCTCTCTCACACACACACACGCTCTCTCTCACACACACACACGCTCTCTCTCACACACACACACGCTCTCTCTCACACACACACACGCTCTCTCTCACACACACACACGCTCTCTCTCACACACACACACGCTCTCTCTCACACACACACACGCTCTCTCTCACACACACACACGCTCTCTCTCACACACACACACGCTCTCTCTCACACACACACACGCTCTCTCTCACACACACACACGCTCTCTCTCACACACACACACGCTCTCTCTCACACACACACACGCTCTCTCTCACACACACACACGCTCTCTCTCACACACACACACGCTCTCTCTCACACACACACACGCTCTCTCTCACACACACACACGCTCTCTCTCACACACACACACGCTCTCTCTCACACACACACACGCTCTCTCTCACACACACACACGCTCTCTCTCACACACACACACGCTCTCTCTCACACACACACACGCTCTCTCTCACACACACACACGCTCTCTCTCACACACACACACGCTCTCTCTCACACACACACACGCTCTCTCTCACACACACACACGCTCTCTCTCACACACACACACGCTCTCTCTCACACACACACACGCTCTCTCTCACACACACACACGCTCTCTCTCACACACACACACGCTCTCTCTCACACACACACACGCTCTCTCTCACACACACACACGCTCTCTCTCACACACACACACGCTCTCTCTCACACACACACACGCTCTCTCTCACACACACACACACACACACACACACAGAGAGAGACTTGAGACTTCTATTGTTCACAAATTACTTTTTTAAACTATTCTATAACTATTATACACTGTAAAAAATATTGTTTTTAAGTTACAGATTATTGGAGTACATTTTACAAGAAAATACAAATTTCACATTTAGTTCAATGTGTTACTTGCCATTTGTTTTTAATTATTTGTGAAATTTACAAGCAATTTGAGTGAAAAGTGTTTCTACAACTAATTTCTTTCAGTTTACCCCAAAATTTCTGCGTTATTAAAAGTCAGATAACATTAATTTCCTCTTTTATGTAGCTTTATGCCACTATCAAGATGTTCATTTGAAGGATAAAACAAAAAAGTGAATTTGGTGCTGAAATGATGGAGAAATTAGTAGTAATTTAATTTTAAAAATGTTTATACATTTTTATTGTTTATATACATATATACTTATTTCTATATATTTATGAATAAATATTGATAGATAGATAGATAGATAGATAGATAGGTAGATACTGTGGAGACCATTGAGAGATTTTATTAATATCACAGATGATTATTGCTCAGACTTGACCTGAGAGCATGACAGCAGCAGTTTAAAGCCACAAATTCCCCTCTGTGTTAAATGACGGAGCAGTTTTGGTGGCCGTGTGCACCTGTGAGTGTTACTGCTCCTTATGATATGACTGGACAGGAACACGAGTCCTCTGGGACTGCAATTACTCAGCAACACACGCACACACACACACACACACACACACAATAACAATTGTTTGATCTACTCAAGCAAAAAGGTCAAATAATTTTTTTTTCATTATTATTATTATTTTACAGGGTTTGACACAAATAAACGTCTTTTCCAAACTTTTTAATGTGGTAATCCACAGGTCAAGTTCACTAAGAAACTAATCATCTCAGAAATTCATATACAAGAACTATTTGTGGAAATATAATCCATTAACTATAACAGTAGACTGTTTTTTTTATTTTTTATATTTGGATTATGGATATTTTATTTTAAATTATGGACAATTAATTAATTTATTTATTTTAATGTATTTCTATTTTATTTTAATTAATAAATTTTAATATGGATAATTCATTTTATTTTATATTTTTTATTTTCCATTCTTTCTATCTATCATCTATCTATCTATCTATCTATCTATCTTATTATATTTAATTTTATTTATGACTCAAAATGCAAACTCATTTTCCCAGAAATCTGTTATATTTTGTGGTTGATAGCCGGATATTCAAATGAATCCCGTCGTCTGCAAAATAACCACCTGTTAAACTCATGTTAAATCATCTGTTCAGCACGAAACTCTTACAAAACTGTCAAGTCATGAAATTAAAGTCATCGTGTGAATCTCACATCGGTTTTTTTTTTATTATTGATTGGACCTGAAAATATTTTCATGAGATTGATCTATGAAATGCATATTTCCACAAACATGGTCTGAAGAACGGTATGAAATAATGGTGAAAAATGCTGAAATATTCTGTAATTTTAGATGTAATTATTTGTAAAATATTTGCTTTGTCATTTGAGAGGTGCTTTTTTCCAAAAAGGCAGGCGTATGAGAAATAATAAAACACAATTACTCATACAAGGAGCAGATGTGTGTCTTTCAAGGTACAAATATCAGCTATTAATCAGCATATCATCTATTAATACATCAGTCAGAGAAAGTCTGCCTTACAATATTTAACCCATTTAAGTCTTCATGTTTAAAATGTCTATAATCTCAGTGTTCATACAGTCTGTTTTCTTTTATTTCAGCTATTAAAAACACCATTCAGCTGCATATGGATGGTGAGAAATTATGATTTATTTACACTCACTCAAACCTAAACCTAGTGCACTAGCTTGCTGTCTACTTGCTGAAAGCTCAAACGACTTGCAGTTGATTTCAGTGAAGTTTGATGTTAATGTGATGCTAAGATAAAACCTAACGTATACAGTTAAAGAGTTCATTTGAATTAGATTGAGCTATTTTACTGCTTTTCTGTATTTAAGTATGATTATTATGATGCCTTGAAATGCTTCCTATGTAGGCAGCACACTGTGTTCAGGAACAGTGTTCGTCTCGATCGTTTAGGAAACCGAGAGATTTTGGGTTGCTGGTGAGAAAAGATGAAAGTTATGAAAGATTGTAGACATATGAAACATCCTTCAGATCACACGCAGAGAACAAACATGATATGATCATAAATACGTGAACCAACATCACAACCCTTCACCTGTAGATGCATGAAGAAACACATGAACGTTTGCAGTTTTGTCATACACACACCCATGAGAACGGCTTTGTTTCGATTGGTTATGACACTATATGAAACTGGCATGGTTGGTGAAAATGTATATTTTTGAACATATTTTATTCATTTCACATCTTCAGCCATGCAGGAAAGTTTGTCATTTACCAGCAGCCGTTAGTGCAAGCCTTAAATTAGACTTGAAAACATGCCAAATATTGTTTTCCATTAGATTAAAAAAGGGTAAATCCATCACTTTTAAATATTAAAATTTGTAATAATATAAAATATTTTTAATATTATTTTTTAATTGTATACATTTTATTTTATACACACACACACACACACACGTATATATAATATAAATAATATAGTAGTTTTTATATTTTATTTTATATGTATTTATTTATTTAAGCATTTTTCCTAAAAACATGGCATATCTGCAGAAGCAGGATGATACATTTATCAATCATTTTCACAACAAATTTTAAAAAATATGGTAATTTATGTTGCCTTTATCTGCTAATTCATATAGAAAAGTATATTTCTAGATCTATATACCATGCAACTATTATATCTCATGTTTATGCAGGTATTTCCGGTGTTCAAATATGAATGCAATAGTCAAAAAATATTCATTTTGGCATTAGTTTGTAATTTTCAGAGCCGCATGTTCTGATTTTGACTCACTGATTCTATTATTTTGCTCCGTCAGAACTTCATGGAAACAAAGTAAAAATGTCCTTTCTTCCTTTTCTGCGACTTTCATTCTGACTTTCTCACACACACTCACATCTGTGCAAAACTGCTGTTAGAAAGTTGCAAAACATGAGATAGAAATTCATTGTCTTGTGAGATTTCTCGCACTTTCTTTTCCTCACCTGAAAGCAGGGGAAGTTGGATTTCACTTGTGGGATCTAGTGAAACACACGCCGCTTTCTTCAAGAATCACCTGATAATGAGTTTCACAGCGTTTGTTTTCAGAAAGCGTGAATGTTTTTCCAGCAGTTTTCTGAAGATGACTGCAGTCATTTATGATTGATCTTCAACAGGACGAGGACAATCCAGAGAAGAACAAGTCTCTGTGATCTTCTGGTCTGTAGAAGTGGTTCGGTTCCTCCTGCAATAGTCGTCTGTGGGATTTTTTCACCTGTTTGATCATCCAAACAATGGTGCATTCAGTCGCTTAGTAACTACCAGCACTAACTAGATCAGAAGGAGGAGGAGAAAGACACGAAAATCTTGAAAATCTCGAAAAAAAATAAACTAGCGTTTTTCAAAGAGATGCTATAGAAGAACCATTTTTGGTTCTCCAAAGAACCTTTCAGTGAACAGTTCTTAGAAGAACCATTTTTTTGTTAAAAATAAAGGTTCTTTATTGGCATTGATGGTTCCAAGAAGAACCTTTAACATCCATGGAACCTTTCCATTCTACAAAATTCTTCACAGTGAAAAATTG